TTCTATCGAAGAGTTTACAATTCCGGCAGACACTTTGAAGTTAGTGGTAATGCCAATAAAAGCTTGAACGTGCGATTAGAAATATAGAAAGCGTTTAAACAAAGAATACAAATCAGGCTGAACCCGATACTTATGCACTATCATATAGTTCATATCGATCTCGACTGGCTGTGCTGAAAATAATACACGTTTCTGGGTAGATTTAATGGGCGGTTTAGGTATATAAGTGCTGTAATTTAACCTACGATTCCATGACCATACCACGAGCTCGTTAATTATTCGAGAACAGTACCGCCCATGGATATCGAATACTTTACAACGTTTTATGCATTTACATACCAGCAGTTCCAGGCAAAGTATCGAGGACGTCTCTGGAGATACTTTTTACGTTTCAAATAATACGGTGATGTCTATGAAATGATACAGTGCCGTTCGACTGTTCCTGAGCAACGCGAAATTGTTCGCACGATCGGTCCCCGTGGAAATTCGCCCAAATATTAAAATAACTACGTTCGCGACCAGCCAGTGTTTTATTACATTTTAAAACGCAAAAGTAAAATTCACAAATTTATTAAAGAGATTGTTCATCGTCGAAGAGACCTTTAAGATCTCCTCCACGTAATTTATTAACTGTTGGAATTTCACGTACTGATAAATTTGAAAATCAGAAATTACTTTTAAACATCTTTTACTCTGTACTTGGAACGAGCTTTAATGTTTGCTCAACATTTCTTTCGCGAGTTAATATTCACGGAAACATATAATTTATAAGAATCCCTAAAATTCTATGATTATGTTTATTTTCCTTTTTTTTTAATTATTCTTTCACGAGGGATATAGAATCTTCATCGATTGAATAAATCCTATACGTATACAAAACACAAAAATATTGTTTCCATATCTTTTTAATTCGTTTACCAGAAAATTTATGTACAATTCTATTTTGCAAAATTTTCGAATCGTAGTCCTGGAATCCAATTAAGTTTTCCCAATCCGGTGGAAGGAATGACGCCATTTTAATTACTCACCGACACCCACGCGGCGACCTTTCCACAAACCAATCTGGTCAAAGTGGGCACGATCAACTGGGTTCGGTAAATTTTGAGTACACCTGGACAAGCGGACATCGCCAGTGACTAAACTGGGTCAAGCATGTAGCGCAAGAGTCGTTTCGCGAGATTACTACTTGAACTTATTTCGCAGAGACACAATACAAAATGCAATCTCTGCCTTCCATTTACTTTTAATTTACGAATATTTTCTGAACGAAGTTTACTAATGAAATAGCCATTAATTCTAATCGATCGACGCGTCAAACCTGAAAGATGTCAAATGGTTATTAGTAGATTGAGATGATGAAAAATCGTATGGACCAATTGTGTAGGGGTCGGTGTCTCCATTCATTATAAAATCATCGGATTACAATGGTTGAATGTATCGCAATTACGTAGTGTATTCGCAAGCAGAATGGGTGACAGTCGGAGGCGCGGGGAAAGGTACGCTGACGCTAGATGTAGAGTAGGTCGTCTTAACAGCCCCAGAGACACGGCTGGCACATAGAATAATAGGGTATGCCGGCGTCCCGGGTTAGTCCCTGTTAGCAGGACCGAAGGTGCACAATGTATGCAAACACCGTAGTACCGCGAGATTCCCTGGAAATGCTCGAATTACTGCACCTCGCCCAATAGAGCACGTTCCCCTCTCCCCTGTCAAGACGGTTTTGCGACCACCTTCAAAACTAATGGAGTCGCAACGATCTGTTTTTCTTGAAACGCGCCGAAGAAACGGACCAACATGAAACGTAGCAACGCGCAAGAAGACGAGTTACTTTATCGAAAAAGCGACTGCGAAGTCGGTCCTCCCCTCCCCGCCTCGACTCTCGTTCCACGATTCTGGAAGTGAATTTTGTGCCAAATAGTACCTTATAACGAGATATCGATCGCAACTACTTTGTACTTTACCCCGGAAGTTATAGAATATGACAGACGGGAAGCATTACTATCGGTCGAGGCGCGGCGCTTCGGTTTTTCGGACATTTTCTTAGATTACCCGTTATATTTCCTGCAGTTGAAACGTACAGTCAGCGGCGAAAGTGGGCGGACGATGAAAATGAATATCAATTGGTCGTTTTTTTTTTAAATAAATAAATAATCAGCATATTCTAATGATAAATAACTTAAATATGTAACGATAATGATATGTTAATTAAACTTCATTGATATTCATTTTCATCATTTATTCACTTTGAAAACAATTATCAATTCAGCTTAAACAATTATTGTGATTGCTGTCTCATCATTAGGTATCGTAGCATAAAAATGAACGATAATTGCGATCACTCGTTGTTTCGACATTGTTTTGGCCCTGGGAGGAATTTTAATGGGAGATTTTAGAGGCCAAAATAGGACGTAAATCAGGAATATCAATTTCTTGATTGAGGCTCGTTAAAAAGTTATTAAAAAATTTCAAATCATTCTGGAAAAATTAGTTTCTGTTGCAGGGGACAATTACAATCATTTTTGGTGATTAGACATACCCTCAAAATCCTACTCACTTTCGAGAACAAAATTCGAGTAGGTTCTGAAATTTTTCGGCGAAATTGAAAAATTTCAATTCGTTCTAAAAAAATTATTTTTGATTGCAGGGGCCAATTACAATCATTTTTTATCAATACACATACCCTCGAATTCCTACGCACTTTCGAGAAAAAAATTTCTTACCGAAAATCTAATGTGTTTCCCCGAAATTTCAGGTGAATCTTTAAAATGTCATAACTTCTGAACAGATTGGGGGATTTTAATGATTCAAAAGGCAAACAACGCGTATTTTGGAAAAGAATATGTAGAAATTCCAAAAATATTCGCAAAGTTGTTTCTTAACATCATAAAATGAGAAAAACCTCATAAAACTGGTCCAATTTTCAAACGACCTTAACTCCTACAATAGTGAATGTATTTCAATTAAACTTTTTTTCCGGGGCAGGGCTCATGTGTACCTACAGAAAAGTATTAGACAACTTTTCTGTAGGGCGTCAACAAATTTATTAAAAATGAGAAACAAGTTTTTAAGAAAAATCGAGAGTTGCTGAAACTTTTCGGCGAAAAAAAGAAATTTCGAATCGTTCTGGAAAAATTATTTTTGGTTCCAGGGGACAATTATAATCATTTTTGGTAAATAGACATACCCTCGAAATCCTACGCATTTTCGAGAAAAAAATTCAGTTAGGACGAAACTTTAAACGTTAATAACTTCTTTACGAAGACTCCATCAACAAATTGGTATTCTTGATTTTCGCCTTATTTTGGCCTCCAGAATCTCCCATTAAAATTTTTCCCAGGAGTGGCCGAACACTCTGTATAATTGAAGATTACTAAAATGTAAAAATTTTCACATGAAATCGCACTTACCTGCAGATCTAAGGCATAAATTGAATTACGATCTTGATAGAAGCGATGATACATGTATTATAATTGTGCAGTTGTCAAATACTGCACGTTAACGTATTCTTTTTTCGAGGGATGACACAATATACTTACCAGATATAGACAGGTACTCTTTTTTTTTTGGTGGTGGAAATTTATGATGTAGGGGTGGAACCACTAGATACACAATACCTTTAGACATTAATTTCATGGTAACAAAATTTGATCATTGTTTATTTGTAAAATGAAAAATAAATATTTCAGAACTTGGACGTTAATTTAAAAATTGTTACCTCGCGTAAGAATTTAGAGTATTCGCCAGAATACATCAACTGTTCAAATGGCGATACCAAAACTAAAATTTGTTCGAAGTACGACGCTAAATAAATAACACAAATAAAAAATTAAATTTATATTTTAAGTTCATTATAGTATAAATACATACAAAATATGTCAGACTGACACACAAACATGCAACTATTATCGCAATGTTAGAATGGAAATAAGGGAAAGGGAGTAATTGCTGTTTGCAATTAATAGAAAAGTACTCCGAATAATTGACAAAATAAATCTTCATTAAGGTTAAAATGATCTCAAACAAAAACGTAATCTTATATAGATGTTAAAATAATTATAAGAATGTTATTTGGTTGTTGAATAAATTCTTCCCATTATTTACGAATGTCATTTGACTTCCTTCGCTATAGAAAAATGCGTTGCGCCTATTAATGTGAGAAATTTAATTTTAAAGCGCATATTTTACGTTGTAAATTAGAAAAGTGGAATTTCTGAATGTAATAAACAACGTTATTTGTCGATAAATTCCACGTTGCAAAACAATTTTTGAAAACGAACAATTATCTGTATATGGAATATTATCCAATACAACAGACTAGCTAATTGAAATAATACTTTACTTAAAAATTTGCATCATTTTTTAGGAAATACCTTTCATTAAAAGGACTTTTATGTAAGATGCATTTATGCCACATTGGCAAAAATGACAGGATGAGGCAGAATTCATACTACAATGTACAAAAGAACGATTTTTCGCGTAAAAATAAATCGAATACGTAGAGTAAAATTTTTTCCAAAAGTGTCGTGTTTCCTGAAACATCGATTTTCAAAATTTGTTGGATTGCGTACGTTCGTCCAATAGAGTAGAACCACGATTAGTGCAAAAATTCCTGCAATAATAAAAGTAACCAAGAAAAGTCTCATACTATAATCGAATTTTTAATCTATTTCTAAACAAGGATGGTGATATAATTATATATCTTATTGATTTTACAGTCTTCTAAATATCTAATTATAGCAGATTGAAAGGGATAGTACCGTATCGACATCAATATTTATAAATACCAAAGCAAATATAAACAATTATTAATGGATACACAGATTATACTAGTTCTTTACATTCTCAATATAAATTTTCTCAAAGACGAAGGCTCGTTCGTGCAAATGTTATTCTTCGCTTTCGGTTTATTTTTACACGAAGGATCATTTGTTATTTCGATGAAAATGCCTTTACCAAAACCGATATCGAAAATTGGAAAGAATGTATTCACTAACCCGGCAGATTAAAGTCAAACGAAATGTTAGTCGTATCGCTTATGCTAGATACACCGTCGCGGTGTCTGAAATTGAAACCCTTGGATATCGTCGGTGAAATGGGGCTCTGTCGCGGCACATGTTTGGCTCTCGAATAAAATTTTCATGCGACTTTCACCGTCGCGGGTGCACGCGGTGCATTAAGATTTGCTTCACGTTTGAAATGGAGAACGCGAAACTCGATGGTCAATGCGATCGCGGGTCGGGATTCGTGTCACGTGCGACCGAAATTTCGGCTCCTCGTTTCGTACGTTTTTCTCGTCTCTTAATAGAGAGGATCGGGGCAAGGTTCGGGGGCTGGACGACAAATAGGTAAGACACGTTTCTGTAAAACAGATGAAACGTATTCTCTTTATTTCGTATGCCATCGAGTATTTATCTTACGTGACCGAACAATCCTCCCTCTTCCTTAACGTGACTTTTAGCGAATAAAATTCGGACATTGGTTTACTATCCACTAGGGCCAGGCTGTCTCGCCTATTTACAATAGATCTTTGTACAAAAACTAATCTCATATAAACAGTAAAACACACGGTACCGTGCCGGGTGTCTGTGAACGGAAACGAAGACTCGATATCCGACTCCATGTGTTCGTTAATTCGGCGACGTTGCTTCGTCAAATTGCTAGCTATTTGCACTATTTTATCGAACCCTTCTCGTTTCTCGTTCACGCGCGAACGTGGGCAAACTCTATTATAAAAATCTCCAGGTAGAAAAAGAACGAACAACCGAACAGAATCCTATCGCGACCTGATACACTCCCCGTTAGAACCATCGGAGCCTCTAATCGTCGACGTTTCATTAACTTTGCGACTGACGCGCGACACCTACGTACGTGTTCAATTTCGTCCTTCTCGCGACGAAAGTCGGCTCGATGTCTCGATACAGGTCTACGTTTCCGTCACGTCGACCTGAAATTGTTCGTCGGTTTTGTACAGTGAAACGTTCGCAGTGTTTCGCGAAGTCGCTTGCGAATTCTCGCGTCGACCGTAGGAAGATGCCACGTGCGATCTCGTCCATGAGAATTCCGCTTCGAACGTTGCCGACGTTCCGTCGACTCTTAGCTAGCGACTGCCACGAACGCTCACGGAGCCGTTCTAGTTTCGCGGGTGAAATTCCTCTCCCCCGAACTTATATACAACTCTCTTGTATTCGATTCGAGCGCGTCACCACTTCCGGCTGATGGAACTTGCCCTGCGCGGAGACCGACGAGGATACTGGCCTCTGCGGCATCGACGACAGTCCTTTGCTCGACCTTTGAAGACTATAGTAGACCTGCAATCAATTCGACCTGTGCTTCGTCTTCACTCGAAACTTCACCATTTCGATGCACGATAAATTGGGATTTGGTAGATAATGAGGCGAGGTCAATAAACGAAAGGATATGCAAGTTTTAATACAACTTCAAAATATCATACAGAGTTAGGTTCAGCAGTGTGTCCTACAAGTAAAACTAAGACTAAAATGTTATATAACAAAAAGTCCATAAATGCTTTGTTAAGAAGTTATAATAAAAATATGAACTGTGAAACTCGGAGATTCAGGACATTAAAATGGGGGAAAAAATTTATAATAAAATCAATCTTTTGCAAGCATTTGATATCGTGGGTTTCTTTGCAAGTTACTAAACATAAACTTGAACAATAGTTCAACATTTTATGACAACAAAAAGTTATTATCGAAGAAAGAATACTTCAGCATCCAAGATGAATGATAGAAACTAAACTCTGATGAAGAAACGTTTAAGTTAGCCACATAATTATACGTTAACAATATTTTTTCGTGCTTCAATTAACAGTTGCTTTTTTTAAACAAAATTATAGTAAATAAAAAAACATCACATTTCATATTTCTGTCATAACTTCTTAATAAAACATTCAAGCATTCATAACACTTTAGTCTTATTTTTATCTGTAGAACACACTGCTGAAGTATGTACGAAAAAATGTGGAACACCCTGTATAATAGTTAAATTGGTGTTATAACTTTAAGAATCAGAATAATTTGTATTGGTTGAAATTCAACTAAAATAAAAAAAAACATTAAGAACTGATTATACAGCAATGTTCGGATAACTGCGAGTCATTTTTGATTGGATAACGGTAGTCATCCCTACTACTGAAAGGTGGCACCTCTTGATACATCAAAGAAGCTCAGTGTCGAATGAACCGCATAGTTAACCTGATCTGGGCTCGAATGTCGGTGACATAACACAGTCGTAGTACATAATGTAATGATGAAACTTTTTATTTTTTTTTATATGAAACTTTTACCAATGTATTTGTAAGAGTTTTCTGATTAAAATAAGACCAAACACGATATAATTTGTTTTCAACCTATTTCTAATAGAGTGTAAGATCATGTTAAATACGATTAAATATTCATTCATTAAATATGCAAATATGATCTGAGTTATATCGTGTTTGGTTGTATTTTAATCAGAAACCCCTCATAAATATATTAGTAAAGGTCTCATTAACAAAAAATAAAAAATAACTAAGATTCATGCTGTGTTATTCTAATTAACCCCTAAAAATGAGGCACTCGATGAGAAAATTATTCTTACTAAATTTTAAAGCGATTAAACAGTTGTTGACTATTTTGTAAACAAAAGTAGAATTTTTCAGATTTATAATAATAATATTTATGTGTAACATCCAACTGTGCAAGGTGATTTTAGAAACTGGAGCAAGCTTGGTCACCTTTTGATGACATAATTTATTTGTTTGATGCAACAGTGCAAGTGCAATATGTACTTCCATTCATGTACGCCTGAACACCTGCTGGGATAAAGTAATATCCTAACATAAAATATGAAATATATCGTACAGTGTTTCGTTTTCGATGATCATACTTTAACACTTGTATATAAACAATGATAAGAAGAATCGATTTATGTAAAATGATGTATAGTTCAATTTAAAAACCCAGTGAAAGTACATATTGAAAATATTTGAATTTTATAATGAAAAGCAAATAACACAATATCTATACAATTGATTATTTCTTACTTTCTATTAATCATATGCAATTAATGAAAATTATACATATGAACGAAACATTATTAAAATTTAACTAACAATGAAAAGCAAGCGAGTAATGAATTTAATACAAATTAAAGTAACTTTTGTTAGTGCATGCCATTAAACTAGATTTAGATCAAGTAATTATATGCAAATTGTAATGTTTAGAATTCTCAAAGCAACTTTATGAATATAAACAATTTTTGAAACTATAAGTCTAGTAGAATTATACAAATGTGCTGGAGATTTATAGTATCTCACGTCAAAGAATTATTTTTGATACCAACAGACATATGGGTGAAGATTCTTACAAAATGAATAAGTAGAAAATTTTTGTAAAAAAATTTGTTACGAGTTTAAAACACGTCGGAAATTCTATTAATATACACACAACAAATATTTTATTGTAACAGAAAGTAGGAAATTGTGTATAGATTTGGTTAATCTGCTATTTTCATATAAAAAAGTCCATCAATCTGTTAATTGTTAAATCGTATATAACAGGCTTAGAAATAAACAGAATTTGAAAATGATGAGTGACGTAGATTTCCATTATTTAGTATTGATCATTCTTAACTGTATGAATCATTTTCTCTCCGAATGTCAGAATTTTTGGAGAAAGCTTCGAAAACATACTCGACTAAAAATATTAATTCCTTTAGCTACGGTCCATCCTTATATAAAATAAATTGAATGAAAAATTTGTGATATGAAATTATTATGTTTTCTATTGTTGTGAATTATGCCAATTCATGGACATGCGGTTGTACCTCCATTTATGTCCTTACACATATTTTGTATGTGAAGCCTCAAAATTTGAAGTTGTGTGGGACTTATTTACTCATTTTGATACGATTTTGATTCTAGTACCACGTTTATGCAAACATTTTATATAATCACAGATGTTATGACGATAAAGGTAAATAATATGGTAATTACTATTTTAATTAATTGATATATACATCGTTAAAGATTCTATATGTATACAATAATAATACATAATTGATGTAATATACGAAGTATTTCAAAAAACTATACAATCAAAAGGAGGAATAAATTTTAATGAAAATTATTGTTTTAATAAGCTGCTAATTTCGCATTCACGTAAATTATAACAGCACCGAAAATGTACATATGACAAAAAATTACATTTCATCCAAGAAATATCAACGAAAAAAACTTCCCTTCTCTTATACTGTATACCATCATTAAATAAAATATAAAAATAGAACGGATATATTTGACGTGATCTTGATAAGTAGGATACCCTGTATATACGCGTAAAGCAATAACAGGAAATTTTAATTTATATTACGATCGTAGAAAATACGCGGCTAAAACAAAAACATAGAAATGCAAATGCGTCGATACTTGTGAAAATTGCAAATTCGGAGTGAAATTAATAATGGAACAGCCGAGGTGCAACCACCGCCGGCAAAAATAATCGAATGCCACGGGTTTGCGTAATGCTGGGAAAACAAAAACACTGGAACGAAAACATCGAAAGCGAATATCGGGGTCAGTTAATGAAAGGTGGGCGAAGGGTGGGCAGAGGATAGAAAAGGGAGAAGCAATTCGGTATTAAAATTATTCAGACACTTAATGGAACGCGACTAGCGTCGAAGGGAAACGGAAGTCGAGTTCGAGACGGGAGTTACGCGCATCGAGACTGGCCCTCTCGAATTATCGAGAAAACTTCGACGTAATTAAACTCGCGGAAGCGCAGATAACCCAAGGCTTCGCTAAACCGGAAAAGTTAAAGTAGAAGACTGCCGCATATTAAAGCGGCCGATCCCTTTTCTTGGCTCGTATCCTGTTCCTGTCGTCTTTGGAAACTTGGAATATTTAAAACAACCTTGCCGATGTTATAACGAGAAATCGACGGTTTCGAGTCGCGTCAACGGTAGGATCGATCCTATTACTTCCTTCCGCGAAGAATGGAATTCAATATTTCTGTTGAATATTGTATCACGGCTCATCGATCGTTCGTTTGGCGATTCGTTACTAGTCCCTCGTTGCTTCCCAAAAGCTCTCCCCGTTCCGTGGTAAATGGAAGCGTTAATTGCGTCTCATTAATCAAACCGCTTCAACTAAATATACTCTATTGGATGTCGCGAAAAAACGACCCGATTAAATTTACAGACCGTAATGAGTTTACGAGGCTAATTATCGGAATGATTTATACACCGGCGCGGCCCATTAATTGGCTCTACATCCGGGATATCGGTTTTCTCGATCTCTAGACGTTTTTGTCACTTTTCTGGGATGGGAATGCGGATGACGGCGAAAAACGAGACGAGGTGAAACTCAAAAGTACCCTTCTTCCGTTTCAAAATTTCCTACGTCCACGGATGATCCTTATACATTAGTTATAAGCAAGTAACTAAACTTGAATTAAGTAAACTCGAAGTTACTGGAAATGGAGAGAGGATGCGGCGGAGTAATTATGAAGTTACTATGTTTAATCGAGGATGATAACATCAATCTATAGTTAACAGCTCAGATATAAAGGAAATTCTACACTCTGCGACAAAACCATAAGACATTTAACAATTATTTACGTTTCTTCCTCCACTTATCAAAATATAATTTCAAAATAAATACGTACAATTTATTCGTAACAAATGTTAAGACATCAAGTTAAACTGCGATTATTTAGGAAAATCAATCAGACAAAATTATAAGACATTTTTTTATAAAATAAACGAAAACAATGTTAATAAGGTGTACTACCACCTCTCTTTTCAATGGCTTTAATATTTTAGTCCTAGAGTCTCCATTTGTTTAAAATACGATTCTTAGTTCTTAAATTTCGATCTTGTTTGATGCTACAATATTTTTGACGTATTTTGCAGCGTGTACACGTGCATTATCGTGTTTCGCCAAAAATTAATATTATTTTTAACATTATGCTCGTTTGTTTCTTCTATTATACAAGTTCTTCCTTTCTCAGGCCACGAAAATGGAAGGCCCATCTAAATTAAAGCGTTTCTCGTCTGAAAATATAATTTCTCTCCGCCGTTTATTCCACTGCATTCTTTATTCTCCAGAATCTAATCGAGCTTTCTCCGTTTATCTGTTAGCGGTGATTTCTTCAAAAGTTTACGTCATTTCAAACAGTCTGCTTCTTTCACGATTCGTTGAGCATTGTCTAAATGCGTATTAACTCCAGTTTCTTTTGCTGGTTTCCCTACTGCGAGAACTGAATTGAAAGTTACGTTTAAAATAGCTTGTCACTCTTAAGAAGCCGATGTTCTTGGTTGTCCACCAAGGTACTTTTTCATATATTTTTCTTCATTTTTTTACGTAATTATGAAGCGCAGCGACTTCTATTAAACTGACGACGGCGTCTTTGCTGTGGAAATATTTCTTCCAAATTGTTAATTTCTCTTATCTCACTGTCGCTTAATTATTTTCCACGTGGCATTTCATTCATATTTCAGTATTAAGTTAGCAATTTCATGGAATAATATTCCAAATAACACAAATTAAATTCTTGGAACCAAAATTACTCAAATTACTCATTACAACTTTCTTGTTTCGCTGACGAATTGCAACTGTCTCATAGTCTCTTCTTGGTTCTTGAAATTCCAATCTTGAGGAATTCGTTAAATTGTTCAAGGTAATTCTACCATTCCAATTAAACTCTCGTTACTATATTCTTTACAATATTACGCATCAAAAACAAACAATGTTGCAGTTATTAAAAAGAAAACATACTTTAGTATACGAAACCACAAGAAAAAGTTGTCACGTATAGATGTCTTGTAATTTTGTCGCAGTGTGTATAATTCGACTTCTTCACGAGTATTTACATGTACGTATATCTTTTTTATAACGTAGAAAGTAGCTTTGAAGTTTATGAAACGAATTCGACGCTAAAAGAATATTATAAAACACTATGACACTTAAAAAAAAAAAATTAGTGCCTCTTTATATTGCATTCATGACGTACTTTCTCGCATGGAATTTTTCCTTTTGCACAAAGTGTCTTGGTACAGTCAAAAGATTTCGCAACTTACGTTTTGCTTATTACGTTGGTTGTAAGCGTCCATCGCCATTTGCTTGAAGTCCGCCATAGTGGGTGGATGATTGTAAGTGTTCGGCTGGGAAACGTGATTCTGGGGATAATTGATGTTCGGCGTTGGCAGACAGTCGCTCAAGATGGGATCCGGAGGTAGATCTAAACCGTGCTGCACGATCGGCCTTTTCTCTGGCGAGATCGCGTCGTCCATTACTCGATCCTTCTTTCTCCGCTGCGGGGGCGTCTTGTATATCGGTGTGTACGTTAGGGGTCTTCTCTCTGCGAACAGATTCGACGAAGCCATGCAAAGTTCCACGTCCACTAAGCAGATTAGTCGATTAAATTTAGACAAGAGCATTCATTTCACGCGAACAATAGGTCAAAAACTTATAACACGCGAGATTTGTTTAATACTACCGCGTAAAGTCGTGTTTCGAGTCGCGACCCGCCTCGGCTCCGAAAATTCCTTGATACGCGAGAGCATTTTAGGAAAACCTAGTGATTGTATTAATACGATATTTTGTATTTATACATTTCTACATAAATATGTTCAAATCAATATAATTTTTTATTCTTGAAAAATTTGTTCTCATTTTTCTACCTAATTTACAGCAGTCAGTATTTTTGAGCTCAACATTATTTTTCAAAAAAAGAACCTAGTCGTGATTTAATTTTGTTTCAATCATTATGTACGGCACATAATAAAAAAAGGATTTTTTGCGAGTTATCATGAATAATTAATTTAAAAAAATTCAACCAGTCACTAATCATACTATACAGTAGAGTTTCATTTTGTAAGAATTTTAATTTTATTTGTTAAACAAATAGGGATATATTTAAAATATGTTTTAGAATGTTTTAAACGCGATTAGGATGACAAATTTTTATGGATTAAAATACTTCCTAATAAGTCAACAAATAAAAACCATGTCTTAGTACTATTAATCTCTATTGATAAATATTGACATTTAGGTTTTTTTCGAAGATTAATGTTGAATGAATTTAAAAATACTGACTGCTATAAACTATATGTAAAAATGAGAAAAAATTTTCCAAGAATATAAGTAATTTACGACTGTGTACAATTTGAAACTATCATAAAATATAATTAAGAACATCAGAATGAGGAAATGACATATTTTATAATTTACGATTTCCCATATTTATTAAACTTTAACATATCGTGGACTAATAAATCTCCATTGTGAATTACTCTCACAATCAAAGAGTAATTTACTTTCTCTCGTTTCACCGCGTAGGCTCAAATTTTTGTCCCATTCTATTTCCTCGTACCATAGATTACCAATTGTTAAATTTTACTACGAAGTGGACGTAAACTAAGCTCGAAACATTCTTCGACGCAATCCTTCGTTTAACTGCTAGAAATATGAGTTCCTTTATGCCCGGATCTGACGTTTCATCCCCTGTGAATCGTAACACGGACAAAGGGAACTGCGCGCGATGAAATTATACAACCAATGAAATCATAAACAACGAAAAGAAGAGATCGAAGCATCGCATGCCGCATTCGAGCAACTTTTCATCGCGATAAAACGACGAAAGTGTTCTAGCGGGCAAGGCCGTGTGTGTGTGTTCGCCTTTACGGGCGCCGTGTGTGCACGTAGGCCGTAATTTGGCGCACGTTTCGAACAATCGGAAACTCGTACACTCACCATACTCGTTGGGTATGATGTCCGGATCGATGTCATCGACCGCCTGCTTGGTCTGAGGGTGCACCGGGGTAGTTGCACCTGCATTAGGTGGCTCGCACACGATGGGAGCGTGCTTTGGACTTCCGGGCCGGCCGTTCGAGTGCTTCCGGTAGAGCGCCGCCAGGATTCCAGCTACGGCCAGGGCCAAAAGGGTCGCTGTTGCTGCCAGGCCCAGCAGCAACGGGCTCACCATCGATGCGTCCGTGGTACCTGTCACGACAGCGATGCAAAATGCTCGATCAACCGGAACTTCTATCGAACTACCTGTTTGCTCCCCCTTTCTATGTTTTGTCCCTGCTTCCCCGATTATTGCCGCAAGTATATTTTTACCACGGTACCCTCGCTCGATCATTCGCGTTACGGACGCTCGGATTTTGTTGCCCCGGCGCTGCTAAATTTATCGTGCACTCGGTACCGTTTCCTGTCTTGCTACGTTCGAACCGTTCCCACTTTTGTTCGTTGCATTGCTCGTTTGGAAGTGACGTGATTTTGTCGAAAGAAATTACCGCAGACTTTATAGTTGATAGAGTTATGGAGATAGTCTACAGTTTGATCTTCTTACAGATTTTATGAGTTTCTTAATTTCGACACTTTGCATGCTTATTTGTATTTTACGAATATTTGCTATTGTGAATTGCTGGAAAATCATTTTTCCAGAACGATTTGATACTTCTCAATTTCGCCGAAAAATTTAGGCACCATTTTTCTGGGGCTCTAGAGCTCCATTAATACGCATTGTTTGAATTTTGAATCATTAAAATCCTCCAATCCGTTCAGGAGTTATGATGTTTTAAAGATACTCATGAAATTTCAGTAGAATAAGTTCTGGTCAGACATTACAGTTTCGGTAAAGAATTTTCTACTCGAAAGTGCGTACGATTTCGGAGGTATATCTATTCAACAAAAATGATTATAATTGACCCTCGCAACCGAAAATAATTTTTTTACAATAATTTCAAATTTTTTAATTTCGATGAAAAATTTGTTCACTTAATGAATTTTTTTCTCGTAAGTGGATAGGATTTCGAGGCTATGTCTATTCACCGAAAATGATTGCAACTGACTCCCGCAGTTGGAAATAAATTTTTCAGAACGATTTGAAAATTTTCAATTTCGCCGAAAAATTTAGGTACCTATCTCATTGTTGATTTTTCTTAAAAATTCGTTTTTCATTTTTCGACGCCCTATAAAAAAGTTGTCTAATACTTTTTTGTAAGCACCCATGAGCTCTACTCCAGAAAAAAGTTTCATTGAAATACATTCACTATTGTAGGAGTTATGAACATTTGAAAATTCGACCATTTTTATGGGATTTTTCTCACTTTACGCGGCCAAGGAACAACTTTTTCAAGATTGTTAGAATTTCTACATATTCTTTACTAAAATACGCGTTATTTGCATTTTGAAACATTAAAATCCTTCAATCCGTTCAGAAGTTATGAAGTTTTAAAGATTCTCATGGAATGTCGGGGAACCATTTCATCAGGCCTCAGATTATATTTTCGGTAAGGAATTTTTTTCTCGAAAATGCGTAGAATTTCGAGGGTATGTCGATTGACTAAAAATGATTGCAATTGACCCCCGTAACCGAAAATAATTTTTTTAGAATGATTTGAAAAATTTTTTTTTCGCCGAAAAATTTCAGCATATACCCGAATTTTTTTCTCGGAACTAGGTAGGATTTCGGGAATGTATGTATTCACCGAAAATAATTGTAATTGATCTCCGCAACCAAACATAATTTTTTCAGAATAATTTGAAATTTTTAATTTAATTTTTTAATAACTTTTTAACAAAACCTCAATCAACAAATTGGTATTCTTGATATTCGTCTTATTTGGGCCTCTTGAACGTCCTGTATATTCTTGTGCGGTCCTTTGTTCAAATATATCTATGTTCATTTTGTCACTTTATTTACAATTCCATGTGATCTTATTTGTTAATAAGACCAAACAAATTTTAGTAAATAATTATGAAATTTTAATTCATTTAGAGTATAATTGTTTAAGGTCAATGTTTTGGTCTGGCAGTCAACGTGTTGAACAGTGAAAAGGCGAACAATCAGCGCAATACAGCAATGCTCGGATAACTGCGAGTCGTTTTCGATTGAATAAGTGAACGGTAGTTATCTCTACTAGTAAAAGGGGACTCCCCTTTATACATTGACGAAGCTCAACGTCGAGTGGACTGCGTAGTATAACCTGATATGGGCTTGAATATGGGTGACATAATTCAAAGAGAGAAACTTTTTATTTTTGTTTTTTTTTTTTTAATGAAACTTTCACCAATGTATTTCTGAGAGTTTTCGGATTAAAATAAGTCCAAACACGATATAATTTGTTTTTATCCTGTTTCTAATAGAGTACAAGATCGTGTTAAATACGCAAATATGATCCAAGGTAAATCGTGTTTGGTCTTATTTTAATAAAAAAATAACAAATAAGTTTCACACTGTGTTATTCTTATTTATCCCTCATTCACTGTCGTTTTCTCCGTTCGATAAGACACAAAACCGAACGCTGTCGGTTTACGCCTTTCTGGGGACTGAAAATTAACCGTGGTTTTATGACTGCGTGATTTCGTTTCTCACAGTTATCCGGGATTTGCTGCAATTGACGAAGGTGTGTCACTTATAGGCGCTATTACGGTTCAACCGATGTATATAATTAGATAAATGTTCTTACATCGGCTCGTCTCGATGTGCATCGTGCCCGGTTGCTCGTCCACGGCGCGCTTTGACCGAGCACGTGGAACCGCGTGGGTGCGTGCGTGCGTACAGACGCGTGAAAGCGTATGCACGCGCCGCTGTACAGGGTGAATCGTAAATCAGCCGTTAGGAGCTGCAGTCGCTTTGGGCTTTAATCGGGGTAAAGCTAGTCGCGCCGATGTTACGCGTTGTAAATTTTGTCCGGTGCATAAGCGTTGTAAATTATTAACGCTGGATCCGGCCCGCGACTCCGTTTTCGAACGCTTCCGCGCTCCCGCCAAACCGATTTTTGATGGGGAACCACCCCATTGAACGTTACGAGTGGCGATACCGGTTGCTAATTGGCAATTGCGCGGACGCGTTTGTTTGACAATTATTAATTACTCTTAATAAGGTTGTTTGGTTACGATGTACAAGCCTCGTTCGTCAGCTATCGTGCAAATTCTTCGGTAGATATTAATACGAAATTGCTTGCGACCATTTATGGCACGTTTGATATGTCTTTGAACAAATTTCTCAGAATATCAGAAATTCTTGAATTAATCAAAAAATTTTTAATGAGGGCGTCGAATTGAGCTCAACATTTCAGCTTCCACTATATCGATCTTCTTATAATATTGTGATTCGATGTAAATATCTGATAATTATTTCACCTACATTGTACTTTATTTGAGTGTTATCAAACTCGTTCGCGTTGACAAATTTTCAAAATACATTATTTTGAATTTAATTTTCAGAATATTTGAAAAATAATCTATTTCGAAATAACACCATTATTTCATGAATTTAGTGCAGTATGAATTTATGGTGTACGCAAATATGAAACGCTAACTAGTACAAAGTATATATTATTAATGTTATTACATTAATTTGCGAAATAAACTTTGCATACGTTTTGTACATGTACTCTACACTACCATACATCATAGACACGGAAACTTCTAGTTATTATGAAGTCATTGTATTACCTGTTGTTTTGGATATTCATCGACTTTTAATTCACCAAAATTCATATACAGGCAAAAAGTCCGAAACTTATACAAAATGAACGAACGTCTCAAAGACTTCAAGTATTGTCTTTTTTATATTAAAACTTCATGACAGCACGCAAATCATTACTGTTTGAACAATGAAAATTTTCTTGGAACTTAATATTAAAACTTTCCACAATGGAAACATCCATCATTCATCGTGTTGATACAATAAAGTATTTTGTTCAATGATGATTCTGTTCGATGCAGAATGCTTCTATTTAGAAGAAAATAGATCGTGAAATCTGTATAGTTTATCGATACAAAAATCGTAACTTCGTCTGTATTTGTAAAATTTTTAGATGTATGGTTTACAAGATATTTAAACCGAATTTACTACACGCTGTGTAAATTACACATTTTTATAATTTTCGCCTGTTTGTTTGTTCGTTCCGGATTAACTCAAAATTTACTGAATCGATTTCGATAGAATAACCACCATTCTGTTTCGTATAAATCAAGGAATAGGATAGGCCAATATGAACTTTATCTTTTCAATGCTTTGACATTATGGTTGCTATTCGATTAAAGTAAAACTATGTTTTGTACAGAAAAATTAGAAGCTTTCTTAGCTAAAAAACTGATATAGAAGATAGGCAGTGTTGAAATCTAAAATTTTGTAGCAATATCCTTTTTTTTGCAAACATTTAAAGATACTGCAGAATTTACAACATATCCCTAAAACATATCCCTACCTAACATCACAAAATTTCTCTAAGATAATTATGATATGTATGATATCTTGGTCACTTTGCATTCACAGTAAGAGTTTTTAACATAATATATTGAAAATTAAATCTAGTGTCTTTTTTATTCCTTTCTCGATACATAAACGCAACAGAAAAAATCTGTTAACAGAAATGACTTTTACTAACAAGTCATAAATATCGCTGTTGAGTAATTAAATAATACATGGAAGATGACGTATCTGCTAGCAGAAAGTGAGTTCAAGTACGTAATACAATACCAAATATGGCCGGAACTCTGCATTCGATAAACGTTCTAGTTTCACCGCTGTAGCCGATTAACCGCGGCTAATTCCATAGCCGTGTTCTTTTCATTTTCATGGAAATTTCATACTCAATGTGCCTTTTTGTTCGTCAAGCATGCTTGAAATCTGCATGAAATAAAGTCGATAAATTCGTGGAGGATCTACAGGAAGACGCGGCATAAACGAAAAGCGCCATTAACAAGAAGAAAATGCTTTTTCACATTGTGAGCCGCAGAATGCGCTGATATGACTGGTGACGTCATTCGCTTGCGTGCTATAAGCGTTGAAATCTTATACCTAGACTGAAAATTTTATGCATTTATGGCGTATGCTAAACGTACAAATAGGTATACTTGTTTCTATTCTACAATTCTACTATTCAAATGTAATACATGACAAATAATGAAAACACGAACTAGAAATTTCAGACAGATTGTACAAAATACCCCCAATGCTGAATAATTCTTTGCCAAAATTCATT